GGTGGGGGCGGGGCATGGTGGGGCCATATTGTCTTTATCCTAAACTCTTTGATCAGCTACTGAAGATCCTTAAAGGCTGAGGGTGAGGTGTACATGGTTTGATTTGTTTTTGAAAGCTCTCTCTGGGTGATGGGAGAGCATATGGTGTGGGTGGCGGGAGTGCTCTGTGGGAGACCACTGACGCGGCTTCTATAGGTCATCTGGATCTGAAATGGAGGCTTTTTGTGGGAGAGAGAGCTGGGTGGCAAAACTGACAAGTCTTGTTGCAGAATTAACGAGGAGATGTGGATGTGGGCTTTCTGGCTGACCTTTGGGATGGATGGTAGACTGCAAGAGAGTTGGCTGAGGGGAGAAAGATAGCGGGTTTAGCTGTTGTATTAGCCTGGCAGGGCTGCAGACTGGGGGTGTTTAACAATGGAAATATATTTTCTCTCAGCTCTGGAGCCTGGAAATCCCAGCATGATGCTGGTAGCGCTGTTTCCTCTGAGGCCCCACTCCCCGATGGCTGCCTCTCCACTGCTTCTCATGCAGCACCCTCTGAGTGCACTGCTTCTCTTATGACCCTCTGCCTGTGCTCCAATCTCCTTTTCTTACAGTAGATCTTATTATATCATTAGCACTGTATTAGGGCTCGCGCTCATGGCCTCATGGTAAACCTCTCTAAGGGTCCTGTCTCCCAGTGTAGTCACATTCTGAGGTACTGGCAACCACTGGTATGTTTTTGGTCACTCTAAGTCAGCTTGTATGTTCTAGAAATTTATATAAGGGGTCATAATACTATATACTTTTTCCTTTTTTTTTTTTTAAAGAATTTATTTATGCCTACAGAAATGGCGTACAGGCCAGAGGTGCAGGGGTGGTGAGAGGATTCACCAGAAGAGTGGGGAGCAAAAAAGGCAGGTTGACAAAGTAGAGTGCTGAGGGGAGCAGCGGGTGAAGCAGGAGAGGTCTGCCGCACCATGTGGGTCACCTCCGGGATGGGGATCAAACTGGCACTGAGGTTGATGTTTAAACAGCTTAGCTTCTAAAGTGCAGTGCTCCATCCTGTTGTACTACCAGGGAGGGCCGATACATATACTCTTTCTATCTGACTTTTTTTTTTAAGATTTATTTATTTATTCATACAGAACTGGGGTACAGGCCAGAGGTTCGGGGGCGGTGAGAGGCTTCACCAGAGACAGAGTGGGGAGCAGAACAGGCCGATCGACGAAGTACACTGCTGAGGGGAGCAGCGGGCGGGTCAGGAGAGGTCTGCCGCGCCATGTGGTCACCTCCAGGGTGGGAATCAAGTTCATGCTGAAGTGGCTTTAGCTTCTTAGTGCTGTGCTTTAACCCGCTGCGCCACCAGGGAGGGCCCTCTTGTTCTTTTTTAATGTACATTTGGATCAACTTTTAAGGTTCCAGAGAAAAAATTGTTAATTTTTTATTGGGATTATATTACATTTATAAATTAACTTGGGGAGAGTTAACAAATTTATGAGATTGAGTCTTCCTTTCTAAACATGTTACATCTTTTCATTCCATCAGGTCAGCTTTTGAGTCCTTCATAGGTAGATTAATATATTTGACATAAGGCTTGTGCACACTGTGGAGTCTACTCCTCTCTCTGTTCTATGTCTTTTGTTTCATGAACTTGGCAGCTCTTTCCTTCAAGAAATGGAATCTTTTCCCCAAACTGTTGATTTTAATCAACACAATGTGATGGGGGAATACAGTGTGCCGGTTCAGAGGGGCCTGCAAGCTTCTGCTGTGATTCTTGGAATCCTGCCTAGCCCCCTCACAACAGGCTGGTTAGCTGCTGGAGAACAGAGACAAGGGGTCTGCTTGCCCCTGTCTCCAGCTAACAGAGGCAGGAGCCAGCCCCAGGAGCAGAGCCCTCTAGCTACTGTTCACTGACCCGAGCATGAGCCAAGACCAGAGCCGCCTCTGCACATGGCCCAGTAGTGACTGACTGGTGACCGACCCTCTGAGTGTGCGCCGAGGGCTGTGAACATCTGTTGCATGCGGAGCGGGCTCTGGGCTTGCAATCCGAGGACTTCACGTCAGTCATAATAGCCAGGAACTTCTCCTGTAACCCACTTCCTCTATTTCCCCAAAAGCAATGGCTACGGGAGGGCTTTGAGCCCACACTTGCTCAGGCCCATCTTGGCCATCACACCAAGTGACACTGTACCCGCCTTCCGGGGGAGCCCCTCAGACTGAGGGGCTTGGTTTTGCTGCTGCTTTGTGAGCATTGTTCGCAGGGTCATTCTCATGTCTTCGCTCTGGGTCATTCTCATGTCTTCGCTCTCCCTCCTGCCCAGTGCTGGTGTCTGTTCAATCTAGCGCTCCCATGCAGGTTTGGCCAGAGGTGTTTCTCCTCACGATGGTGTAGCAGAATCTGGCCTCTGGCCCTTCCCAAGCGCCGCCCCACATTCTCCTTTGTTCTCCTTGTAGGACCCAGGGCGGAGTTCATGTTCACAAGGATGGGCTGACCGTGACTTCTCCAGTCTTGATGTGGGTCCAGGTAAACACAGGCATCCCTGCCCATCTCTTGCCCAGCCCGTCTCACTGGCAACTTTCTAGGCCGGCCAAAGTGATGGCTCACGAGTGCGTCGGTCGAGAGGAGCTCGGTGTGGTTCCGAGGCCCACCTCAGTCCCAGCGGTTTCAGTCCTCCCATGCTGAGGGTTTCCAGGTTCTGAGGCCGTAGAAACTCCTGCCAGTTGCCATCTTTATTAGCACCACATTCTAACTGGCTGAGCGGTGGCCATCTTTCAAATACCCAGAGCCAGCCTTTCTGCACAGTGCCTTGAGATCTAAAGTCTGCGTCTCAGTACACAGCCCCCAGACCCTCTCAGCTTCTGGGGTCTTAGGACTTGAGCAGTCAGCCTCAGAGTGCCCCAAGGCAGCCTGCCTGTTCAGGACAAAGAGGAAGGAAATGCCCTGGGGTGTGGACAGCTCAGGGCTGGGCAGGGGCTGCCTCCTACACCGCAGGATCCAACACCCTGCAGCTTGAGGGCAGCCAAAGGCAGCGGTTAGTGTGTCCACCAAGGGCATGTTTAGTCCTTTGAGGCCTCTTTAGCCAATTCCCCGTATTGAGCCCTTTCTGATAAACAGTGTGTTTTTAAAAAGATTTATTTATGTATGTATATAGAACTGAGGTACAGGTCAGAGGTGCAGAGGTGGTGAGAGGATTCACCAGAGACAGAGTGGGGAGCAGAACAGGCAGACTGAAGAAGTACACCTTTGAGAGGAGCAGCGGACAAGACAGGACAGGTCTGCTGCGCCATGTGGAGCAGCTCTGGGCCTGGGGTCGAACTTGCACTGAAGTGGCCGCAGCTCGCTTGCAGTGCTGCGTCCTAACCCGCTGTGCCGCCAGGGAGGGCCCCTAAACAGTGTGGTTTTTAAAATCAGTCTGACGCTGACTCAAACTGAAGAAGTGGGGTGAAGTATGGCTTTCCACCCGACAGGCTTCAGATGGCTGAGCCAGACCAAGGAGCCGTGGTGGAGGTGGAGGCAATAGGCCAGAGTCAGAGTTCAGCGGTCCCAGAGTTCAGAGGGATGTCAGGGCTTCCAATAGGCCAAGACCTTAGCTTCTGGAGGTGAGTAAGCAGGGGGGGAGCCAGCCGACCTCTAATCCTGAAAGGCCTGGAGCTATCTACCCCGGTTTCAGGTGTGTCCCACTCCCTGGCAGCAGGGCCAGACCTGTGAGAGGAGTGCCCCAGCGCAGGGTGGAATGGCAGGGTCAGGCCAAAGCCCATGGCTTCTCTATCCTCAAGGAAAACACCAGGATAAACTCTCACTCCGGCTGTGATTCTGAGGGGATGTGGCCAGCTCCGCTGGGCGACCAGCACCACTGGGCCATCTCACTAATGGGTGTTGGACGGAAGATTCCAGCCAATGGGAGAACAAGGGGTCGGGACCAATGGCCACCATCTCTGTCTGCCCCTTCAGCCTCGGCCTCCTGGACAGGCGTCCCGGCCCAGAGCCACACACCAAGGGCAGCGCTCTGCTGTGCTCTTCTCTATCACTGGTGTGCGGGGTTGAAACGCAGTGAAAGAAACCACGTATGAGCCACCTGTCCCTGGAGGCTTGCAAGTCACAGATAGGATGTGAGTGTTGGTGATCTTCCCTTACCGAAAATATTTTTAGCCTAGTGCACCTTACTTGACCGACACCTGTCCGCCCCATCGGCGCACTGCAGTGCTTCTGAGTCCCACGTCCTCGGCTGCTCCCTCATCCTTAGCCCAGAGCCCCCCACTATATTGCAGGCTCTGACTTTTCCCTTTGGAGTCTGTGTGCGCCTGATTCCGTGGTTCCGGACAGCCATGCATCGTGGGTTCTGGTTTTCTTCTCAGGCTTTGGATATCATCTTGGAGAAGATGAAGGCTTCCGGCTTCAACTTCTCTCAAGTCCTTGCCTTGTCTGGGGCAGGCCAGGTTTGTTTGCATGGGGTCTGTCTACACGGTGGCTAACTGTCCACAGAACGGGGGGCTAGGCCAGAGGTGTGAGGGGGGAGTGGATTCACCGCACCTGAAGTCTGATTCTTTGCTAACAATCATGTCCACTTCTCCCCATCTCTGCCCCCAGCGCGTAGATGCCCCAGGGCCCTGTCCCTGCCCTCCTCGGGGTTCTGTAACCATGCTGTGTGTCTTTCCGCCTGACTCCAGTATCCTGCAGCATAGAGACAATACCCTCCTATTACCTGGCTGTGCTTGGCCTGGAGTAGGTGCTCAGTAAATACTTGGTGCATGAATGAATGAGTTTCAAATACTATTATGAGCAACATATTTAAATACAGTTTTATAAAGGGCACCAAAAGCCAAACCAATAATTCTTCTTGGCCCCTGCCTACAAGTTTTGAGGTGTACTGGCTGGAATTCCTCCCCATTTTGTTGGGACTGTTCTCCCCATTTTGACTGTGTGGCTAAGTTAAGTGCCGGGGCAAGCTTGGAGCCCAGCCCCTCGGTGTGTGGCCTGGGGTCTGTCTGTGTCTCCACGGCCTGGGAGGCAACGTGCTCTCGGGTGTCCCCTCCACAGCAACATGGAAGTGTGTACTGGAAGACTGGGGCCAGCAAGGTGCTGACCAGCCTGTCACCGGACCTCCCGTTATACAAGCAGCTGCAGGTAACTGTGGCCATATTGGGGGGTGAGGTGGGGGCCAGAGGGGAGCGGAGGCCCTGAGCCCTGTGGGCCAGGAAGTTCAGGCGGTGCATCCTGGAGTGTGGGGAAGTTGGACGAGTAGCTGTGAGCCTGGTCTGCCCTGCTCTGGTGACAGGACAGCTCCCCTCCTGGCTCCCTTCCTCCTTCAGGAACCTCCTCCTGGGGCGTGATACCTCCTAGTGACTTGGGCAGGCAGACCCTGGCTTCTCCTCTCTGGGTGTCCAGATGCCCTGTGGCCCAGCGCTGGCCCCTCCCTGCCCATCTCTGTCATCCTCTCCATCTCAGACCTGCAGGCCAGGCAGACATTTGGACACGGAGGCCTTGGCCTCCAGCTTCTGGGGTCACATTCAGGGAAGAGACACCCACATGTGCCGTGCTCCCGCTACCAGGGCAGCTCCCGGAGTTGGGAGACAGAACTCAGACCTGGGCCTTTGCACCCTCTTTCCAGGCCTGCTTCTCCATCAGCAGCTCTCCAGTATGGATGGACTCCAGCACCACAGCCCAGTGCCGCCAGCTAGAGGCTGCCGTGGGCGGAGCCCAGGCTCTCAGCTGCCTCACAGGGTCCCGTGCTTATGAGGTGGGCAGTGGCTGCCACCGGCCAGGGGGACAGAGGGGTTGCAGTGTTCCGGGGAGGAAGGTCTGGGTGCGGATCTGGTCTCTTCTCTCTGCGTGTCTGGGAGGATGCAGCAAGGGTCCTGCCTGGAGGGGATCCCTTGAGGCTGCAAGTCTGGCACCCCCCGGGGAACCCAGATTGGTGCTCTGACCCCTGGTCTGATCAAGGCCATCCTGTCTCCCTGTGCTGCCCTCAGGCAAGGGTGGACGTCCTCTTGCTTGTTCCTGGTTACAGCAGAGATGTGAGTGTGGCTGTTGTTTGGGGGTGAAAATGCCACCTGTTTCAGCCTCACTGACCTGTGGGGAGAAGTGACATATTTGGAGAGTGTTGAAGCTGAAAAAGAGTCAATGAGTTTAGAACACTAGTGTAACTCCTGGTAATGTTGAAAAAAGTCTCTTTCCTGCTGGCTTCAGCCAAGGGCCTGGGATGGCTGGGATTGGCTCAGCTCAAGTCCTGTGACCCTACCTGAGTCACCTGAAATAAGAATGTGGCGCCTGTACCCGAGTCCCCTGAGTCTCTCACTCAATGTGCAGGTGAAGAGGAGGGCTTCTTTCCCAAGACCTGTCCAGCCCTGGGCCAGCAGAGGCCCTCTCAAGAGGGGGCCGGGTACTCCCTCCACATCCTGGAGCTGCAGAGCGACGGCTCACCCCCAAATGCTCGATTCCCAGGATTCAAAAACCAAAATCATATTGAATCATAAAATTCAACAGATTCTCAACCATTTCTAGATTTGAGGCCTTTTTGAAGTTTCCACTGTGTTTAATATCTGGGACCTGCTACACTAAACCCTTTATGAATTTAAGCATTCATTCCTAGAGTTGGGTTTCTAAGAATGTCACTCCTTTTCCAGCGCTTTACAGGAAACCAAATTGCAAAGATTTTCCAGCAGAACCCGGAGGCCTACTCAAACACCGAGGTTGGTTAAATGTTCCCATTTGATTGAAAGTCACAGTTGAATTCCTTTGATCACAGTTACCTTTAGCAGTAACACATCTCATACTCATCGGCTGAAAACATTGGCTGCAGACATTTTAAGTGGCAATTCAGCTCTTTTTCTCATTGTCAGACTATTTCCAAAGCGGAGGGAAAAGTGAATAAATGGAAAGAGAAGTCCGGGGTTCTTCTGACCTAAAAGGGGTGGCAGTCAGGGTCAGGATCAGGGCTGCAAAAGCTGCTGTCTTCCAGGTGAAGAGGAAGGCTTATTGCCCATGACCTGTCCAGCAGATCTGTGTGCCCTTGGGGATCACGTTCCCTGTGGGGCTCGTGCGGGATGGCAGGCTCAGGGTCAGTCAGCAGCGGGACCCACATGTCCGCAGCTGCGACTCTTCCTCCAGAGCTTGTGTCTTCTGTCCAAGGTGGCCGAAAGCCACACCTGATGCCGTGAGAAGCAACTCAGCACCCTGGCTGTGATCTCCATCTCGCTGTAATTAGACGATGATCAGCTCATGCTAAGCCCAAGTGCCTTTTTAGTCTTGAAGTTAACATGCGCTTTATTATCTGATGACTTAATGTTCTAGATTTCTCTGCAAGCTCTAGCCAGTAATATAAATTTCGAGTGGAGGGGGTGTTGAAAACTCTCTGAATTCTGTGTGGGGAGCACAGGTCAGGATGGGGGTCAGGAGGTGTCGGCATTCTTCCCACGGCTCATGGTTGGTTCCCAGGTAGAAACACAGAGCCAAGGTCTGACATTTGAAGCTCATCTCCTCCCACTCGTGTCTGGGATCTGCGGCTCCCGAGGGGCAGCTTCAGAAGCTCCAGGAGTGTTTTTGTGAATTCCTTGTCCTCTAGCCTCTCAGTCCATGTTCCATGTGGATCTATTTAAAAACCACAGAAAGGAGGGAGCCCAGGCCCCACCCTCCCTGGTGTGTGACTCCAGGAGGGAAACCCACGATGCAGGGCGAATAATAAAACAAAAAATAATAATAACAGGAAGCGCCTGCAAGGCAGGCTGGCTGCTGTCACGGCCACTCACAAGCTCTGGTCTGGGAAGCTCAGTCGTGGCCCTTGGGGCTCGGGCTCGTGTGTGTCCGCAGCATTTGTGGCTCAGAGTATGGAAGCGAGTCACACGCCACTGTGTTTCTTTCTTTTTCAGAGGATTTCCTTGGTCAGTAGCTTTGCCGCCTCCCTATTCCTGGGCTCTTACGCCCCCATTGACTACAGTGACGGTAAGGCTCCCGTCCTGGCCGCGTGCACACCGTGTGCCTAACCCACCCTGGTGGGGGCCGGTCTGGCGGCTCTGCCATTGCCAAGAAGCGGGTCTTCCTGGCCTTCTGCTGTGTGACAAATGGCCCCACTGCTTAGCAGCTGAAGATCACACATGTTTATTATCTCACAGTTTGTGAAGGTCAGAAATCTGGGAGCGGCTCAGCGGGCGGTCCTGGCCTGGTCAGTCTGGCCGCCGGTGCTGCTGTTATCTCAGGCTTGACTAGGGTTGGAAGAGCCGCTCCCCGCCATGCAGGTGGCTGTCGGCCAGAGGCTCCATCTCCTCGCCACGTGGGCCTCCGTGGGGTGTAACGCGTTGCAGCTGGACCTACCCCAGGGAGGGATGAGGAAGGAGAGCCTGGCCACACCGAAGCTGCAGTCTTTCACACCCTAACCTTGCACATGGCACCCCGTCACTTCTTCCCCATCCTTCTCAACTTCAGGTTCAGGGAGGGGCACCCAGGGCCCGGGATGAGAGCATCCTGGAGAGCTTCTTGGAGTGGTCTCCTGCAGGAAGTTACTGAAGTTTGGTTCACAATTGGGGAACTCAGGAGAGTGTAGAGCTTCTGGATCAAAACCCTGATGGCAGTAACTGCAAAAGATACCAGTAAGGAAGGAAACCAGGTGCAGATTGCTGCAGGCACCCTGGCAAGGGTCAGGCAAGACTGAAAGGACAGAGAGCGGAGCGGGGATAGGAGGCAGTGCAAGGGCCAGACCCGTGAAAGTGGCTTCGTGAAGACTCTGTGTCCTGGGAGTCCCGCTGAAGGGCTTGAGTGCTGTTCTAAGTCGGCATTTTCAGGGAGACAATGTAGGGTGACAATGTAGGGTCCCCAAGTATCACTCACAGTCTGGAAAGGAAAGGTTCTCTGGCTACCTGCACAGTGCTCAGAGCAGCAGCCCCTAAACCCGGCTGGCCCACAGCCACCATGTCAGGGGACAGTCACACCACTGCCCCAGCCGGCCCTCAGCTGGGCCCCCAGTGGACTCCCCTCACCCTCACCTGAGAAGTCACCTCCTTACTTACCTGCTGTGTCGCCTCCTCCATGAGCATGAGACCCCATCAGTGTCCCAACCCACCTCTGCCTGCCTGCATCGTGGCCAGGTGTTCTGGTTTCTTTCCCCTTTTCCATCCTCAGGAAAGCCTAGAGGAAAATGGACTATTTCAGGGAAAACTGCGAGGCAGTTCAGAAGGCCCGAGACCCTTCCTCCAAAAGCTGTGCGTGTTTGGGAAATCCATGTGGACTGCCCCAGGCCAGCACCAGGACCGCCTCTGAGGAGACCCCTGGATCACAGGGACACACAGAGCTGCTTCTAGCCCACACATTGCTGGTACCCCCACTCCCACGCCAGCCAGCTACTAACTTCGAGCTGAATGGTGTTGGAGCCTGTGAGGGGCAGGGGAGCAGCGGATGGGCTGTGTGGGGGCTTTCCTGGCCTCCGCTTGGCTGGCAGGTGACCCAGGCACCTATGACCATTCCACTACGGAAGAGCAGAGGGAATTATCTGCCGTTTGCCAGATTTGTACATGGCTCACAAAAGGCGCTTTTTCAAAACATTTCTATCATTTGCTTTCTTCGTAGGTTCTGGAATGAATTTGTTGCAGGTCCAGGACAAAGTCTGGTCGCAGGCTTGCCTCGATGCCTGCGCCCCTCATCTAGAGGAGAAGCTTGGCGCGCCAGTAGCTTCGTGCTCAGTTGTGGTAGGTGCCCTTTCCAGTGAGGTGGCTCATTTTTTTTTTTTAATTTAAAATTTTGTCCTTTAGTTAGCAAGTATTGGGTGGTGGGGCTCAGAGGCAAAGGCAGAAATAAAAATCCACTGGATTTTCCTTATCAGGCAATGTGACTCACTTAAAGAATTAACGGCTACTAAGGGGTCCCCTTCTTCCCCCCCCTCCTTCATTTGTACCAGATATATACATTTGATTTTCAGTTAAGTATAGGACAAGGGCTTGGCACAAGTTGGAGTAACATGTCTGGCTCAGTGCCCTGCAGTGAGAAGGTATGTGGGCACGGATTTGGGTCACGGGCTCATGGCAGGAGAGTTGGAAGGGGCTTCAGAAAGTTCCACTGGAAATTTATTAGAACTGGAAAAAAATATTGAAGGCCTAAGTTCCAGGTGACCTTAGGAGGAAATACCCAGAATGTTGAACTTCTGGAGCAAGGAACCACCCCTGCCGATTGAAGTGGGCAGCTTGGAGAAATCAGAAACACCAGCGAGCGTGGAGAACACGGCCTTGGTGGCAGCTGCCCGTGACGGCAGCATGGTGCTCCGGTAACGGATTCTGTGGCACTGACCCGTGCCTCTGCTGTATCGCCACTGCTGCTCTTCTGGACCCCTGGGTGTCTGACTTCTACCTGGGCAAGCTGAACACTGAAAGTTCCTAAGATAATGCCTGCCCCGCCCCCTCCGCCCCTCATCTCCGTTAAAATGGAGAGCTTTTAGTAATCAGTGGGTCACACACCCCCATACCCCGTCCACTTCAGACCAGACTGAAGCTGCCCGGGAAGGCCCTGGTTGACCGGCTCAGTCCTTGGTGGTTCTGTGGGGAGAATGAAGCGGAGAGACCTGGGCCTGCCCGCGGGGCCCTTTGCTGGCTAGCACATGCCTCACAGCCAGAACAACCAGAAACCCTGGGTGGGACTGAGTGTTGGCGCTGAAGGAAGAAGGAAAAGGACCCCTGAGGCCGGTGACTTCTGGCTGGCAGGAGCAGGCACCAGGGGACCTGACACCATGACCCTCCCAGCCACGGGAGACTCATCTGGGATCTGCACTGTTCTGGAAGCAGGCTTTGTCGCCGTGAGCAGAAGCTCAGAGTCACACCAACATTGCAGAGTGTGCCTAGCGCCCGGCGGCCCAAGGAAGGCTGTCCTGCCCTGTCCAGGCAGCCGGTTCAGCACTGGGGCAGTCAAAGGGAGGGCGGACAGAAACACCCAGGCCCCTGGGAAGGCCCTTCCCACAGGTCGGCGGATCACAGGAGGGGGCGCGCCGCCTTCAGGGGGGCCACAGGCCCTGCTTGCCTTCCACCAAGAGGGGCCTGTGCAGACTACGGCAGCTTGAGGAGCAGGAAGGAGCCAATTCAGAAAAGTGTGTTTTCATTTCTCCAGACGGTAGGCACCCTGTGTGGTCTGGAGGAAAAACAAGCAAAAGCCATGTTTTCTGTCATCTTTTTCTTAATTTAAAGTCACTCCAGAGAGTGCGCCCCACTTCCTGCAGGAAGGCACTTGGAGCTATGTTATGTCGGAACCCCCCTGCACCGCTTCTTGTCTGCTTCTGTGGCCAGCGTGTGGCCTCACACAGCTGTCACTTGGCAGCTCCCTGCCTGAGCTGACACCCATTGCCCTCACCTTCAGCTCCAATTTGGTGACCTCACACTTGTGCTTTGCAAACCTGAGGTACTGGAGTTAATGCCCTTCAGGGGGAGCCTGTCTCCAGGGGGAGCCTGTCTCCAGGTGGACAATCCCCAGGTTCATTTCATGCAGCTCCTCAGATGTTGCCTGTGAGCTGAGCTCCAACGTCCACAGCAAAGCCCAGCTGGACACTTGGGTGCGTGTCCCTGTCACTCTTCTTGGCTCCCCTCTTCTGTCCTGGGGAAGTCCCCAAATAAGACACTTGCACGCAAGTCCTTTCCCAAGACCATTTTTTTATATAAAGATTGATTTATTTGTACATACAGAACTGGGGTACAGGCCAGTAGTGCAGGGGTGATGAGAAGATTCACCAGAGACAGAGCAGGGAGCAGAAAACAGGCAGATGGAAAAAGTACACTGCTGAGGGGAGCAGTGGGTGGGCCAGGAGAGGTCTGCATCTCCTTGTGGATCACCTCCCTGGCCGGGAATTGAACTCGTGCTGAAGTGGCTTCAGCTCGGTAATGCTATGCTTGAACCCGCTGGGCCACCAGGGAGGGCCCTCAAGCCCAGTTTTCTAAAACAACCACGTCTAAGACATTTGTTCTCCTAAGAGATGACTTACAACGGAAATCCCAAATTTTGCTGAATGGAACAAATTTTCCTTCTCAGACTCCAAGAAATCCTGCCATTTCTTTTAAACTTTCCTACTAAGGAAAAGTCAGTGAACAGAAAACACTTTCTTTTATAACTGTGCTGAGGAATATCGATCCATTCTAGGGTGTCCTGCCCTCTCATCCCGCAGCTGCTCCTGGAGGGCTCCGGGGAGTCCCCGCCCTCACACTGCCTTTTCGGCTTATTTTCCATGGAACATTGGCCTTGGACTTGGGTGTCCGGTTATTCTTACTCCGACGGCTGGGCTGATAGTGCATGTGTGTGAGGCCTTGTCTGCTCCCATGAGTTTGCTTACTGGCGTCCTCCTGTTAACTTACTCCTTTTTGATGCCACATCTGGAATCCCTCAAGTGGGGACTGGTTTGTTCTAGCTGCCTTGAATCTCAAAGTCAAGTGTATTTGAGGCTGGGGGGTGGCCTCATGTTAATGGTTCCAGAACCACACAGGTTTCCTTGGGTCTCTTAGCAGCCAAAGGACTCCCCTGGTCTGTGACCCCACTGCTCGCAGCATTCCCAGGCCCTGCGTTCCGGATGGCTGTGCTGTGCGATGGTTAGCCTTGACCGTGATCCGATGGCTGTGCCGTGCGATGGTTAGCCTTGACCGTGTGCTTGCCTTTTCTCCTCAGGGAGCCATTGCTTCCTACTATGTCCAGCGCTATGGGTTTCCTCCAGAATGCAAAGTGGTGGCCTTCACTGGAGACAACCCAGGTGAGTACCTCGGGTGGGTTCACTCTCCGAGTGGCTGACTTGGACCAGCCAGACACGTGACCATCCCTTCCTGGCCCCTTGAACCCGGGGTGCCCCCGTTCCCGAGGCCCTTCTGATGGTCCTCACTTGTTGCCCTTTATCGCTGGTCTGAAACCTGATTCCTGTCCTTGCCCCACCTGGGTCCTGACTCTGGTTTCGGGAGCCACTGAGGGCTGCTCCCTGCTGTGGAAATGACCAGTGAGTAGGAAAGAAAGCATGTCCACCCTCCCCAACTGGCCTTTTCTGTTCCAACCTAAGCATCTGGGTTTTTCCAGCCCCCCTTCTAGAACATGGGTCATCCATCTGAGCTATGACTCCTCCCCAACCTGTCCTCTGCCTCCTCCAGGGGATCCTGAAGCCCACTCCTGGGGGTGGCCAGTGGGCCTCTGAAGAAAGGTCAGGCACCCTGACTGAGGCCCCTCAGCCCCGCCACCTGTAGTCTTCTGCCTAGTGAGTTACCCAGATAAGGTTGCGAGATCTGGTAAATACAAATAAGACCCAGTGAATTTGAATTTCAGAAGACAAATAATTACTTTGCAAAAGTGTATTCTGTGCAATATTTGAATTGCATATAAAGAACACATCAGTTGTTACTATATGTCTCAAATATTGTTGCTCTGAAATTCAAATTTAACCAAGTGTCTTATGTTTTCTCTGGCAACTCAACTCCAAATCACCATGCTGGGCTGAGAAAGGGGGTCTCAGGAACATGTAAGGGGGCTTTGGCTGCTGCACCCCAGGGTGGGACCTACTGCCACAGGGAATCTCACGTTCCTCTGTAGAAGCAAACCTTGCTTCTGTCCGTGGCCAGGGCATGAGGGTCTCTGTTTCTGCTCTTTCCTGCTCCTTTGAAAAACATCCCTTTTCAGTTATTTTTTTACTTCAGCGCTTCTCACACATGTCAGCCTTCTAGTACTTTCTTCCTGTTGGTTTTACATATGAGGGATGGATTCCATGTTGCTGGCATCCTTTTTCAAAGCCAGCTCTGGGCTTGGGTGTGCACTTTGTGTGATCTCCAGAAACTGCTCAGGGGCAGGGAAGACAAAGCTCCTGGGGGTTCCATCCAGGAGGGAGGGGTCCTTGCCAGAACACTGATGTACGCATAGGTTGGTGGGGAAGCCCTGGCCCAGACCTCAGCTCCAACAGCAGATGGGCCCAAAACAGACGCCGAGGATCCAGCAGGCTGTGTGCGGTGGGGGCAGGAACTTAAATGTAGCAGGGATGTAAATGTTTCCTCCTGATCACACAAGGGCAGTCACTAGAGAAAATGTGGGCTGTAATAACAGCTCTGACTACTACTATGGTAATGATGAGGGAATTTCAACAAAAAACTTTGCTCTGTTTCTGGACATGCAACTCCATAGATACCTGCACCTCTCCTGTGTGTCAGTTATTTTGGGTATCTACACCCAGGGAGCTCTGGTCTGCAGTGTGTGGGGGGGAGGGGGAGGGGCTCCTGTTCCTGTAAGCCCGAAGAGTTGGGGGGCCTGGTGTCTTTCGGAAGAGAACAGGATACAAGCACCATTCAGGAAGATTCTATACTCTGTGGGCTCTGTTTGTTTTTCTTTCAAAATGAAATCCTCAGAGTCTATTAGGAATATACATACTTAGCTCCATCAATTAGGAAATGTGAGGGAATATATATGGACCTGCTTTTTAAACACTGAAATGTGAGCCCCTGGGCGTATTGGAGCGGAAATGACAAGTGGCTTTCTAGCCCTCCTCTTGGACTTCGGTTTCAGGTTAACTGTTGGGCAGGTAGCCCTCAGCCAGTCCCTCCCAAAGTCTAACCTTCAATTTGCTGCTGCCTCCAATAATGCATCAGTTGCTCCTTCATAAAAACACTAGCAAGTAGACTAGCAAAGGCTCATGCTTTCTCCTTATTCACAGAGGTGCCTCTTCACTGCAGAGCGTATGTTTAAATACCAATAAACCAAAATGAAGGATATAAAAATTATTCATAATCCCTTAACCCAGAGATGACCACAGTTACATTTTTTTAGGCCTACAGACAGACTAATTGACCCCGACAATATTTATGTACAACATCATTATTTTTTTAATTATAATATTTTGTTTCCTTTATATCATTTTGTGCCTTTTTCCATCTCACTTGTAATCCCCATGGACTTCTCATCACCAAATCACCCATGTGCCATCGCCATAGTCCCATGCACTCCCCCCCCCCATTTTTGATCCCATTCCCCATTCCACCCCCCCCCAAATATCTCTGGTATATAATTGTTCGTTGTTATTTCCCCCACCCCCACCCCTGGTCCTTTATGTTCCTACTATGAGTGAAACCACCCAGTATTTTTCTCTTTCTTTCTGGCTTATTTCACCAAGCATGGTCCCTTCCAGCTCCATCCATGTTATGTGCAACATCATTTCAATGGTGATTTAAGGTCAATTGCCCCAGGGTTTACTTCCTTCCCCAGGGACGCAGACTGGCCTCAGTTCCTGTGGGGGGCAATGCAAACAGTGTTGTGGTCCTCAGCCTGTACTGTCCCTTGCCCTGGGGCGCATGGGGTAACTTCTCCGAGGTGGATTCTTGGATCCCAGGCGCAGGTTCATCCTGCTGGCTGTGCCTCTCTTCATGCGTGCTTGTTCCTCCCTGCATTTCTCTTCGTGCAGTCAGTCACCCAGTGTTTAGTGAGCACCTACTACATGCTGGGCTTTCAGTTTAGAGTACATCCGTGAGCAAGGCAGCTAAAGATCACTGTGTGGGGTCACATCTGAAGGACGATAGGCAGCCAACTTGACCTTAACCTCTTTTCATTCTGTGGGGGCCTCATTCTGCTCCTCTCTTACCTTTGTCTTTCTCTGCCATGTGTATCCTGGAGTCTTGACTTGACCCCCTTGGCTCTCTGCAATCTTGGGAGCATCTCACGGTGGGGAGTTTGATCTCCTTTAGGTAAGAGACATCCCAGCCCAAATCAGAGGCCCCAACCACAGAGTTGCCACCTTCTCACCCCTGGGATTGTGTCCCCTTTGGGCCTCCTGACCCCTTACTGACTGTTCCTCCCTCTACCCAAGTATGACGTGGGGGATGTGCTCCCATCAGGGGTGCATTTGCAGTTTGCTTTGTGGCTCTCATGTGACCACCTGTTAACCGGAAACTCCCTCCCATTCTCAGCATCACTGGCAGGCATGAGGCTGGAGGAAGGTGACATTGCGGTAGGTGACTCCTCATACCCACGGGGGGACCCAATTCTTTCTGATTTGGAGGCTAAGGGGCTGGGTCTCAGTAGCATCTTTGCTACTTATCCAAGAATCGGTAGGTCTTAAAAGTCATCAGAGTGGGGGACACTGAGACCCAGCTGGGCCTGCCTGTACTTCTCTTCTGTAGTCAGTTGTCTTAACCTTCCAGGCAGGCTGCCTGTCTGCCTTGATGAGGACCAGTCTGTGGACACTGTGGCAGCGGGTCAGACCTGGGTTAGAAGCCTCTGAACTCCCCAAATGAATAAAGTGGACACAAGCCATGACCAGGGTTTAGTGGACAGTCATTTGGGAAAACAGCCGTCATCCAAATGATTAGTTAGATGCAGTTCAGATAAGTTCCAGAAAAATGTCCTGATCCCTAAGCACCTAGATCAGGGAGCCAACTTTTGACTTGTTTGAGGTGGGGGGTGGGAGGTGTCAGAAGGGTTTCTCCAAGGAGTTGGCATCCAACCTGAGGCCTGTAGCATAAGGAGTGAAGTGATGGGCCAGGGTGGGTAGAGCTGGCCAAAAACCGAGGCGCCCAACCTCCGTCCCTCTCTCCCCAGGTCAGCCTGGGCACCAGCGACACCCTGTTTCTCTGGCTCCAGGAGCCCACACCTGCCCTGGAGGGCCACATCTTCTGCAACCCTGTTGATGCCCAGCACTACATGGCGCTCCTGTGGTAGGCGGGGGGTGGGCAGGAAGGAGGTGTGGGCAGGTCTGTTATCATCTCGAGCTCCCCACTTAGGTGTTCTTCGAAACAAGCTTTCGAGGGCAGCTCAGATGCCAGCGACAGACACACTGGGTCTTGTGATAGCCAGTGGCGCAGGTGGGGGGGTAGAGAAGAAAACAAGATCCAGACTCCCCCAAACCCAGGGTGAAATTCCAACCCCACACCCCACCCCTGCTCCTGTCGCATCCTGTGTGACCTGGGACAAACCCCACAGCACACCCAAGTCACACTTAGCTCATAAGCTGGGGAGAGTCAGCATTTGTTTCATAATGTTCTGACATACCTGGCGCATGGTAGCAACCATGGAAGCAGGTGTCCTGCTTCTGCACAGTTCTTACGAATGGGTGGGCTGGAGACCTGCCCAAGGCTGCCAAGGAAGGTTCTGTACCTCTAAGCCCGTGGAGCCACTGTAGACTTTTAACATCTAGCAAACCTCACCAGCCTCACCCCTAGTCCAGGAGGTACAATGTGCAGAAACCCCAGCGCCCTGTCTCCTTTCAGGCAGCCTCTAAGCAGAGCCTAAGGCAAGGTCACTTCCAATAACTACTGGCTTGGGCCCATGATTCCTGAGGGGAACCTCACACCTGCCATGCACTGCCCGGGGCTTGTGGCCCAGCCTGACCTTCAGCCCCCCGACCTGGGACCCTTCACTGAAACACACGGGTTCAGTGCCCCGCCCGCTAGGCCCCTCCTTCAGGACTGTGTGCACTTCCACAGCTTTAAAAACGGCTCCCTCATGAGAGAGAAGATCCGGGATGAGTCTGCTTCTGGTTCCTGGAGTGAGTTCTCCAAGGCGCTTCGGTCCACAGAGATGGGGAACGGAGGAAACCTGGGTAGGCTGTTGGGCGAGGCCTGGGCCTTTGAAGGGGCAGCAGCTGTGCACAAGGGGGAGGTCCTGGGGGGGCAGGGCTGAGTGGGGAAAGGACGCAGAGCAGCAGAGGATCCAAAGGGAGGCCCGTGTGTCCACAGTTCTGCTCCATGAGCGTGCGAGCTGGAGTACAACCCCACAGGCTGAGTGTGAGGTGAGACCAAGAGGCTACTTTTGGCCGGTGCTCTCTACCCCAAGGGAGATCAGCCCTTAGCTCCATCTTCTGTCCCCCTGTGACAGCATTAGAGGTGTCTCAGGGCCTGCCCGACCCTGGTGCTTTCCTTGCACTCCTGAGCAGAGCTTCCTGCCCCAGACTTAAGGTTCCAAGGTGCTCAACACGGAGAGCTTTCTGAGCTGGGCGAGGATGGGCCTTCCAGGATCCAGCTGGTGCTGGTAGTTTAGGGTTCGCGGTGCAGCTGCCTCGTGGCCTGGGCTGCCAAGGAAGCACAGGAAATGTGACTCTGAGAAAGGCTGGCCCAGGCCTTTGCCTCTGCTGGAAAGAAGGATTTGCTGCTCTCATCTGGGGGAGGGGAAGCCCAGGCGCTAGAGATATGGGTCATTTCATGCTTCTGTTTCTGTTTCTGGTGAGAAGTCAATCTTTTATTTTGACCACTGATAGCTAATCTCTTCCTGGTCTTGCTTCAGGTTTTTATTTTGATGTGATGGAGATCACCCCCGAGGCTGTTGGCCGTCACAGGTTTAGTGCAGAAAATGGTGAGGTATGTGCAGTGATTGGCTTTGGAGCTGAATTAGCTCCGCCTTGGAGTGCTAACTCAAACTGTTGCTTATCAAGTGATGCTCCTTTTAGGGACCTCATCAAGCATTTTTAGAGGTGCCTGGTTGCATTCTAGATGCTGAGAGATCAGCAGGTTAGCCAAGAGAGAAGCCAGCCTTTTTCTTAGAGAGGCGTGCAGAAACCCAAGGGCTCCCCTCTGGCAAGCGTGCACTAATCCATCGCTGAGCCTCCTAGACCCCGTCCTTCGCCAGCCATGCCAAGAACTCCCAGCTCCTCAGGTCCTGGGTTTCCTCTGCCTAGCAGTGCCTTCCGGGGAGGGAGACCATTACATTGGCAGACTCACCTAGCGCTGCTTAGTGCCAAAAACTGTGCTGGTAGCTCTCTTTCTTTTTCTTTTTTTCTTTTTTTAAGATTTATTTATTTATGCACACAGAGCTGGGGTACAGGCCAGAGGTGCAGGGGCGGTGAGAGGCTTCACCAGAGACAGAGTGAGGAGCAGAACAGGCAGATTGACAAAGTACACTGCTGCAGGGAGCAGCAGGTGTGTCAGGAAAGGTCTGCCACGCCATGTGGGTCACCTCTGGGGCAGGGATCAAACTCACACTGAAATGGCTGCGTCCAGCTGAGTCCTAATCCATTGTGCCACCAGGGAGGGCCGCTGGTAGCTTTCTAATCTGCCCCATTTTCATCTAGAATGGGGTGGGTATTATTGTCCCCTTGATGAATGAAGAAACTGAGGTTCAGAGTTACTGAAAAATGCTCATCCATGTCCCATCAGATGCATCACATCGTATGTGCTCAGCACAAGCTCCCAGCTCCCACTTAGTGAGTGTCAGCTGCATAGATTGAGCTCTCGTGTCTACTTTCATCATTACAATTGCTCTAAAATATGGGTACCACTGTTACTTCAGTTTTGTTAGGAAAGAAAATGAGACTCAGCAAGGGTCACAAAATTCATTCAAAGTCACAGAGCTTGACACAGCGCTTGAGCTCTTAGCTGCTGTGACAGCTGTCTGATGCCCTCACTCCCCAAGGTGACACCCACCTGAGGTTGCAAGGTCAGTGTGTGAGGTATGTGTGGATGTGAGTGTGTGTGGCAGGCCAAGTTAGTAGTTCAAGAGCTTAGACCTGCGTGCTGTCCCATGGAGGCCTGAGTATGCATCTAGGCTGCTGTTTAAAAAGACAACACACACACACACACTCTCACACACACTCACACACACACTCACACATCACAACACTCACACATCATACACATACTCACACTTCACATATACATACACTCACATATTACACACACATCACACACACTCATACATCACACACACTCACATATCACACACACTCACACACACTCACACACACACTCTTTCACACACACACACACGCACGCGCCAGTGGATAAGGAGAGCTCTTCACTGCATGCCCTTCTCCTGGACACAGGTCTCAGCGTTCCCCAGGGAAGTGGAGATCCGTGCCCTGATTGAAGGACAGTTCATGGCCAAGAGGATTCATGCTGAGGGGCTGGGCTATCGAGTCAGTAAGTGAGCTGCTGGGCTGTGTTCTGGGGGTCCCCGGGTCCTGCCCACAGGTGCTGGAGAGACTTCTGGACCTTTAGGCAACACCTGTGGTACTGTCTGTTAATGCTTCCCTGCAGGGGCCCCATGCAGGAGGGAGATGGAGCTGGCCCTGATGATAGGGTGACAAGTAGGCCGACTGGCACTTGTAGCAGGTATAGACTGGGAAGCAGGGTTCCTCTTTTCTGCACTGGGCCCCAGTAATTTCATCTCCTAGAACTGTAGGACTTGAAGACTTTCCTGTAACCCTGAGCTCTGATATGAAGGCTATATGCCCAACTTCTGGACCCTGAGGACTTGATGGGCATGAGGCCAGAGTCAGGGCCCTAATGGGACTTTGGTCTCCAGCCTGGCCAGGCCCCTATCTTCCAGTGGGGCACAGTTCTGGGCATTTCCACTTGGACAAAAAAGAATGGGATGTAGTCTAGATTGAAAGGTCTAGAATGGAAAGGGCAGTCTCAGGGCTGGGGGAGGTGCCCAGGGGAGGAAGGGGTTTTTAAGAATGTGAGCTATGGAATGGGTAGGCTTAAGAGGTAAGTGAACTCCTTTGCAAGTGGCATTTGAATAAGCCAAGGATTTGCAAGGAGGTCAGGGTCCAGGTTTCTAAGATCTATTTGTCCCTCTCAGCAGCAGCTATTGTCACCAGAAAAGGTAGAAAACAGCAAAAGATTGCTTGAGGGCCCCTCCTGGTGCTTATGGACAAGCCAAGTTCTATATAGTATATGTTTCATGTCTTTGAAGCAATCAGTAAAAGGACATTATAAAAAGAAGCACTCGGTAAACCTATTTTGAAAACCTGCTAGGCAGCATCCACTAAAGGCGTGTATAAACCAACCCAGCAACCTCGCCTCTCGGTGACACGGCAGAAATGGAAGCTTCCCGGTAGCTGTGCATGACAGCCATGGCTAGAGCCAAGGCCCGCTGAGGGTGGACCAGCGCCTGGCGTGTGCTCATACCAGGGGGCAAACGGAGTAAACCTCACAAATGTATTGCTAAGCTAAAGAAGCCAAATACAAAAATACATTGGGCAGGGTTCCACCTACATCACATTGAGACCAGCCAGAACTGCGGGTGCTGCTGGAGGTTGGGAGAGGCAGCAGCCTCGTCTCAGCAGGGGCACAAGAGACCTCGGGTGCTGGGGTGTTCTGCTGTGCTTGGTTTGTGACAGTTTGCCAAGCCATCAGCTTATGACTTGTATGCACATTTTTCAAGATGTGTGTTATAGTTCTTTTTAAAAGCCTAAAAAATTGTAAATTGAGCCTTCCTTTTCTATTCCTCCACTTATCAAAAAGAAATTCCCCAGGCTCTGCAGACTTCAGATTTGCTGAGACATGAGTTCCAGTGAGAAGGGCCAGGGTGCAGAGGCTGGTGCCTGAGCAGGCAGGGGCCTCCAGCCACCATGAGGGGCTTCTCCCCAGCGGCCAGGGTGCCCCCGGAGGCTCAGCAGCACCTCATCTGATTGTTTCATTGTTCTGAGGCACTAAAGCATTTCTTGTCCAAAACAGCATAGAATTACTTATCCTCTTAGCAAGCTTGAAAGCAGAATCAAACCTCTTGTCAGCTTGCTGGTTTCTGAAACAAGATCACATAAATACATGAAATCAGTGGGAGGAGCTTGCAAAGGTGAGACATCATCCCAGCGGTGTGGACTGACCTGCTGGTGTCTTGTTCTGACCAACCGTCATCTTGTTTCAGTGGTGCCTAAGAATAGAACTTGGGCTAAGACTGAAGATTGTCGCAGTCCTACTGCCAGCACTTGTTGAGAACCTATTGGTGTTTCCTGTGTGCTTCATCTTTATGAAGTTCCTAAGTGCTTATTCCTGGTTCCTAAATGCTTCATCCTTACTAACAACAGTGCCTCTAGGTACTGGCATTCATCCTACTTCAGAAAACAAGAGGCCAGGACTCAGAGTGTTAAGTGACTTGCTCGAGGCTAGCAAACCAGTCTGATTCCAGATCCTGAGTCCTTAGCCACGAAGCTGTCTTTAGTTAAGGAACAGTCTGTCTCTTGAATTTTAGACACCATCAGACATATTCATCCCGCAGGGCTGGGCTAAGGCCAATGGGCCCTTTCAACCATGTTTCCATGTAGTCCGCTTTGTTTATTTTACTTGTAAAAACAAGCACACTGTAAAAGCAAGATTGGAAAATGAAGAAGAGATTTATAATCCCACCCATCTCCCCAGTCACTCATACCAGTTGGGAGTGAGTGTTTACTTCAGGAGCTTATTTTTATATAGTCACAGTCCTATTTCCTTTGTACATACAAACCCTAAAGTTTACCAAAAGTCAGAGAATCTGGAGCTTCTCTGTGACCCTGCCTTCCCTTTTTGGCCTGCAAAGTCCTTGAAACCTTCTGTGGATGCTGCTATAAATCCTGGGGTACCTACACATGGCTGATGTGGCTTTCACAGCTACATAATAAAGCAGTAGAGCAAAAGGTAGGTAACTCAAGCTACTTGCTTTTCAGCAGATGTTTGCTGGACACTGTTGGTGCTGGAACCCAGGTGTGGCTTACATCTCATCCACTCTACTTTTTCGGCAGTTGCCATGGACCATAGTGGTTGCCACATGGAATCCACTAGAACATCTTCCTGTGTCCTGGGTTGTTTCTTTTGGAAGCTGACATTCCTTTTCTTTCCCTGACCCAAGCATGTTCTCAAGGTTGAGGGTGAAGATGAGAGGTGAGAGGTGACAGCAGAGGCTTAAAATATTTATTTGTTTGGAAATGCTCGTAAAAAACTGTGTTTTCATTGTAGGAGAACTGGGACTCAGAAACACCCATACCTAAGCCCTGTGAGATTGTAGCATCTGTATTCCTGTCCTGTCCCCAGCTTCCATGTCACCACTTATCCAGTAGTGGTCATGGAGGACAGTTGGGGGGTAGGGAGCTCGAGCTCTGCATTTGGGGAGCATCCAGTGCCAACCTACCATACTGACCTACATGCATTGCTATTGCTAACTACATTTCTCTGTGCCCTGGCAAAGTTTATCTGCCTGTCTTGGGCTGCAGAGACGAGTCACACTGAAGGGCTCATCTCATGGCAGAGTTTAACTTAGACTTCTTTGCATTTACTACTTTTTGATAGTTCCCCAAAAACATGTTTTTGTCTGTTTGCTTATTCAGCTTTGTCTGATGATTACAGCTCAAGTGATGCTTTTGACAGCCTCCACTGTAACTGGATGTGGAATTATTCAACTGAGATTTATCATTTTTTTAATGTGAAAGATCTGCATGCAGTAGTAAGTGCATCATGTAACTAGCTCCTAAACATATTAATAAATCAAATGTCTTTTTATCAATCAGTCTGGTTAAGAAATAGATAGGACCTCCCTTCCCCCCCCCAAAAAAAAAAGAAATAGGTAGACCCATAGGCCATCTGGATACCTTCCGCAGTTGCATCCCCACCCCCACCCCCGGGTAATTTCTATTTTTATCATCATTTACCTGAGATTCTTTATGGTTTTGCCAACTGTGTGTGCATCTCTGAAGTGATGTTGTTTTGATTGCCTGCATCTGGACTTCGTGGTATTTGGAATTACACTGTCTGTGTTCTTCGGTGCCTGGCTTCTTTAACCCAGTGTCATGTCTGTGGATGTACCTGTGCACACTTGCATCACTGTTAGTTGTTAACTCTCCACTACATAATTATACCACCACTGTCCATTCCTCTGTGGTCCTCACAGCTTGCCACGAGGAGCAGTGCAGCTGTGAACGATCTTGTAAACAGCCTTGCCTGATTTTTCTGTCTTCTCTTTTGTCCTTAACAAGCCTTGAGGTAGACTGACAATCTGAGGGAAGATTCCATTTCTGGATTGGTCGTGTTTGACTAGCATAATGGTTCATTTTATTTCAGTCAACTACGGTTAGGATGCTCACTTACTGAATCTAGCCTACTAGGTCACACTATCTGCCTGGTCCAGAAGACATTTCCATTGTTGATATTTGAGTTGAAAGACTCTACTTCTTTTTCTAGTAATTTCCCTTAAAATTTTAACATATATACCAAAATTTATAATTTTGATCAACTTTAGAGTTTACATCCAATCAGTAATTATGTTCTGCACTAAAACACAGTCATGTTCTCTCCTCTGTTCAGCTCCGGTTGGCTAGTTCCAGATTTGTGTGCATTACACATCAATAATTATTTTAATTATACTTTTGGCTGGTTTCTATAGTCACTACTACTTATCATATCACAACTCTAACTTTATTTTGGATTTATATATTCATGTAGATATTGGTCTCTGACTGTATGAGAGTATTCTTTTTTTTTTCACATCATTCTTCATTTTGTGCATTTTCCCATCTCAGTTGTAATCCCCATGGGCTTCCCACCACCAATTCACCCATGTGCCATCACCACAATCCAGTAACTTCCCACCCCAGTTCCGATCCCATTACTCCACCACCACCCCCGTAAAATATCTCTGGTTTATAGTTCATTATAGTTCATTGTTTTCATTTTTATTCTATTACATTTGTTTGTCTCTCTCTCTCTCTCTCTCTTTTTTTTCTTCCCTGATCCCTTATGCTCCTGCTATGAGTGAAACTATCCAGTATTTTCCTTTTTCTTTTTGGGTTATTTCACTAAGCAGGATCCCTCTTATGTTGCTTTTGTTCCTGTTACTTATAAATAGATGGGACTTTGAGTTCAAAAATCATATTATTTCAGGATTTTGAAAATAGTATTCCATTGTTTTCTGATTTTTGGTGGTTGCCAGTGATGCCATGTGGATTTTTTCTCTACAGAATCTTGTCTTTCTGAAACCTTGGGCTTCTGAAATTTCTCAGCTAGTATCTAGGAGTAAGCTCCATTCATTCGTTGTCCTGAGCACTCATTGACTCTTTTCACCTGAATACACCTGACTATTTTTAGCCTGGGGAAATTTGTTATGTGTTTTGCTCCATTTTGTCTGCTATTTTTCTTTAAGATTTATTTATTTATTTAGACATACAGAATTGGGGTACAGGCTAGAGGTGCAGGGGTGATGAGAGGATTCACCAGAGACAGAGTGGGGAGCAGAACAGACCGACTGGATGAAGTACACTGCTGAGGGGAGCAGCCGGCGGGTCAGGAGAGGTCTGCTGCGCCATGTGGATCACCTTCAGGGCTGGGGATTGAACTCACACTGAAGTGGCTGCGGCTTGCTTGCAGTGCTGTGTCCTAACCCATTGTGCCACCAGGGAGGGCCTCTCTGTTATTTTTACTAAAATTCCTATCGACCAGCCCCTCCCTGGTGGTGCAGCAGGTTAAGGCACAGCACTGCAAGCTAGCCACAGCCACTTCAGTGTGAGTTTAATCCCCCACCCCAGAGGTGATCCACATGGCATGGCAGACCTCTCCTGACCCACCCACTGCTCCCCTCAGCAGTGTACTTTGTTGATCTGCCTGTTCTGCTCCCCTCTCTGTCTCTGGTGAAGCCTCTCACTACCCCTGTATCTCTGGCCTGCACCCCAGTTCTTTATGAATAAATACATAAATCTTTACACACATACTCACACATACACACAAAAATCCCTACAGAGCAGGGCTTTCAACAGAACAGTTTTGCCCCTAGATGATAGCCAACATAATCTGGAGACCTTTTAGGTTGTCATGAGTGGGTTGTGCTATGGGCACCATGGAGGGAGGCCAGGGATACTGTTATATGCCCTATGATGTACACGGGAGGGCAGTTCCCACATGAGAAATGAGCCACCCTAAAATGTCAACATGCCTTGAGGGAATTATCACAGCCAATCATTTTTTCCTTTCAGTGCCCAAGACAAAGATTTTGGCCACTGGAGGGGCATCTCACAACAGAGAAATCTTACAGGTAAGTCTGAGAGCAGGCCCTGCATTATGACCTCTTTCATGTCTGTTAGGTCTGAGACCCTCCCTGGGTAGTTGGAACACACTCCTTGGAGGAGGAGTTCACAGCTCACACTCTCGCAGGAGGCTGACACACTGAAAGCAAGTTCTGCTCTAAACTCAGATGAAATCTGCTGCCCTTGGTATCTCCACTCAGATACCAGTACTGGCTCTGGAGTGCACAGCAAGTGCCCATCCTCCACACGGCAAACCTTCTGACATGTTACACCAGCGTTCTTTGTTATTTTTTGTGTGAAGGCCAGAGGGGTAAGAGGCGAGAGGATTCACCAGAGACAGAGTGGGGAACAGAAGAGGTGGATTTATTAAAATACACTACTAAGGGGCGCAGCAGGCGAGGCAGGAGAGGTCTGCTGTGCCATGTGCAGGTTAGCTGTTAGCTCCCTGGGGGGTGATAGCACTAAGAGTTAGCCCCTAGACCACCAGGAAGGCCCTATACCAGCATTCTTGTGTTCCCGTCTAAACACCTCTGAATCTCTCAACCATTTCTTTTGTAATACAGTAGCCAGATTTCTATCCTTCGGGTTGTTCATTATACTAAAAATAGGTGACAGAAAGTGTCATATGCTTGCAGGCATATGACAGACAGGCTCTCACATCATGAGACTGTCAATGTGTTATGGGGACAGTAGGCACTTGGGAATGTGGCCTGAGGCTTCCTTATCTATATGAATAACTGTCAACTATTGCCTTCTAATATACCTGTCATACGTAAAATTCTCTAGAAGCAGAGACTAAAATGGGAATCTTCTATAGCTGATTTGGTGAGCAAGTGCTCCCAAGGGAAGGGGAGAGAGGGATACAGATTGGACAGAGGAAGAAGGATAAGCAAGGGTGTGATTTTGACTGGAGCCCATGTTAGCTCCATCCACTGGGGCCCTGGGAACATGAATTATGCCATAGACTTGATTCCACTTTAGGGTAAGAGGGTCAAATGACTGCCCTGAGAGGTAAGAATAACCTCCTGTGAGAAGGAGCCTCTGTTGAGAAAAAGCAGCTCTTTTCAGGAGGGACATCTGTGAGCATTAGCTGTCAGGACAGCATCTGAGGCTGAGGTACACACTGGCCTATTGAAAGATCACCAGTGGCATCTATTATAGTATCTCTGGTCAACTTAGACCCCCAGGTCTTTTCCATGTGAGCCCCTCTTAGTACAGGTCCTCCATTCTGAATTTATGCAATTTGTTTAATTTTTGGACCTAAATGGAAAACTATCTTTATCCCTGTAAAACATGTCCTTGTTGGTTTGGGAGTGTTGGGGATTGTTAGTGCTAGTCTTATGCTAGCTGCCTCCACCTGGACCTCACTTAGCATACATCCTAAGTCTCCTGCCTTGGCATGATAAATGGTTAAATGGTACAACCTGGAGAGCTGTGGCCCTCCAGTAGAGACTTCCCCCAGGTTGTCCTGACCCAATTGTCACCAGGGTGACATGGCCAACTGTATTTCTTTTTTTTTTTTTTAAAGATTTATTTGTTTATGCATGCATAACTGGGGTACAGGCCAGAGGTGCAGGAGCATTGAGAGGATCCACCAGAGACAGAGCCAGGAGCAGAACAGGCTGATTGTTGAAGTACACTGCTGAGGGAGCAGCGGGTGGGTCAGGAGAGATCTGCCGTGCCATATGGGTCACCTCCAGGGTGGGGATCGAACTCATGCTGAAGTGGCTTTAGCTTCTTAGTGCTGTGCTTTAACCCACTGTCCCACCAGGGAGGGCCCTATATTTCTTTTAAGGTAGTAGAGGTAGAAGGAAAGATACCAGAAGACAGATGAGGAAAGAAAGCCTGAAAGGACATCCTCAAATGTCTTTGTTCCCTCTGAGTAACCATTCACCACAGCAAGGCCCTCTGTGTCCTTTCCAGGTGCTTGCAGATGTGTTTGGTGCCCCAGTGTATGTCATAGACACTGCCAACTCAGCCTGTGTGGGCTCTGCCTATCAAGCTTTCCATGGTAGGTTGGCCCATGGGTACAGCTGCCTCTGGAAGGGTTTGGGTCACTGACTGACTGAGGATACAAAGGGGAGACTAAGATGTTCCCAGTCTTTGGGGATGTTGGCATCTTGGGAGCATTAACTTCATTTTACTCCCTCTTAGCAGGTGACAACCAACCTAAACTTCTGTTCCTTTGTTCTTTACTTAAAGTGGGGGAAGGGCAGCAGGGTCCTAACTGAATAAAGCCTGGACAGAGGCAAACTAAACACAGGGCCATTGAGGAAGAACACAGAGCACTCTTTCTTTTTTTTTTTTTTTTTAATAATATAGCAGTTGATTTTTACATCATTTTGTACATTTTTTCTCAATTGTAATCCCCGTGGGTTTCCCATCACTGAGTCACCTGTGTGCCATCACCATAGTCCTGTGCACTTCCCTCCCCCCGCCCCCATTCCACACTCCACCCCCACAAAATGTCGACACAGAGCACTCTTGAAGGCACTGGGGCATGGGTCTGGACATCTGGCTGGCAGAACAGATGGGTGAAGTCCAGAACCATCTTTACAGTAAGAGCAGGAAGTTGAGACTAAGGTGAAAGCGTCAGAGCCCAGCAGTCCAGGACCCTGGACAGCTCCACCCGGGCCTTGCTCTCTGATGGAGGCTTCCCTAAAACTCAGAGAGCAGAGGCATCTCCCTGTCTGGGCAAGTTCTGGGGGTGCTGCATATGCCCACAAGGGCTTTCTTCCTCCAGTCCAGTCAATTTTTCCTTTTCCTTTCCCAAGTACCTCAATGTCTTTGTCTTTTCTCTCTGGTGGTTTCATTTCTCACACTTTTAACTTTTAACACATTGATATAAACATGTTTTTCTGTCAACATTGAGAATGAATCAGGGTCCGTATCCTTCTCTTGGTAATTAGCCTCTCACTCTTCTCTCACTCCTTTCCCTCTCTACCCTATTCACCTCATGCCCTCCTCATGCCAACACCTGTGTCGTTTGGGCAATTTATTTCCAGATTGTTATGTTTTGAGTTAGCCTTTGCATGGCTTTTATTTGCACCTCGCTATGAATCTTTCTTTCTATTTTTCAAGTTCCCTCAAATTGCCTGGCAATTCCTCGCTGCTTCTTGCCCACCTTTGGCAGCCTCCCCCTTGTCCAGCGCTGTGGTGCGTTTGCTTGGTGAATAGTCCCTGACCGCCTTCCATGAGGGCAGCGCACTGCGCGCCAGGGCTCCTGGGGTGGGGGTGGGGGTGGGGGCCGGTCTCTCTCCGAAACGAGCTTCCAGCTCGGGAATGGAGGCTGCTGCAACAAATCTGTGCCCATAAATTGTGAGAAATGCCCTGAGGAAGACAGGGGGTGCTCAGAGGTAGAGAGGCTTGTGAGAACCGCCCTGTTCCCTGCTGCAGCTTCCCTGAGGGGAGGAGCAGAGGAGTGGGAAGAGCAGAGCGAAGGACTCTCCACAGGCGAGAGGGGCTCTGAGGGTGAAAGGGCAGCAGGGAGCCCAGGGGACCAGGTCGCACTGAGTGGTGGCAAGAGTGGAGCCAGCTGAGGGAGCAGAGGGGGAGCCCCTCACGCTCCTGTCCGATGTCCACAGTTAGGTGACCTGGGCTCTAGACAGCACAGCCACGGTGAGCACGACACAACACTCCTGTGGAAGAGGGTCAGCGCTTGAGAGTTTTCTTCTCTCTGGTTTTCTTAAGGCATGATTTATATGAGATAGAAACCACCCACCTTATTTTTTTTTTTTTAAACCAAGGAAAATTTTATTTTTTTATCCTTTTATTTTTTTCAGTGTTCGCAATTTGCCAGTTGTTGACTTAGCTGTATAATGTGGGGTGTGCAGCTTCTCACCAGCCTGTGTGCACAGCTCCACTCACCCTCCACAGAGCTCCACTGCCCCAGCCTATCACTTTCCCTCTCCTGTCCCTTCCTCTATCCCTATCCCCTCTGGTTTTTTTTCACAAGTCCAAGAATGATTTTTGTTGTATTTTCCAGTTTGTTTTCTTTCATCATTTACTTTCTGCAAATTAGTGTTTTTCACTTTCTGGCTTAACTTTACTTAGCATCATAAATTTAAGATCCATTCGTTTTTGTCTCAAAAGCAAAAATCACCCATTTTATGTGGTGAGGTGTAGTAAATGTACTAAGCTTTGCAAACATCACCATCATCCAGTGGTGTTAGGATGTTTTTTTTACTCACCCAGAGAGAAAATGCTATTTCCAGCTAAAATCTCCCTTTGCAATGTGCACTGATGTGAAATGAGCTTTCCCTTCTAGGCCTTGCAGCTGGAACAGATGTGTCCTTTTCAGAGGTGGTGAAGTTAGCCCCAAACCCCAAGTTAGCTGCTACCCCCACCCCAGGAGCTTCTCAGGTGAGAGACCTCAGAATTTGGGTGTAGCATTTGCTTTGTGAAAGCCAACGAGGTTCTTTTTTCCAAAGGTAAGTTCTTCCTTGACATTTATACCAAGCTTGATACCAATAAGGGGAAACCCTATTTTAATTGTCCAGGAAGCATCTACAGAAGCCAGTTGCCAACTGGGATTCACAGAGCTGGCTTGTTTTACAGCCCCGGGCTCAGGTGGCTTGCTGGGCTTGTCTTCACTGCTCCCCATGCCCATTTCACTGTGTCTGAAGCCACTGAAAGACCCTGTCACTTAAGCAGATGTGCTGGATTTCCAGTGCTGTAGCTTAAGTTCTGGATCCAAAAGAGTTCAGGGAGAATAAGAAATCCCTGTTAAGGCACATCCCACTCTGCTGTTTGGGTTTCAATTTTGGTGTAGTCTCATTTTTTAATTTATTATAAATAAATAAATAAATTTTTATAATAGTTTATTTTTACATCATTTTGTGCCTTTACCCATCTCAGTCGTAATCCCCGTGGGCTTCCCATCACCAAATCACCTGTGTGCCATCACCATAGTCCAGTGTACTCCCCCCCACCCCAATTTTTATCCCATTCCCCACTCTACCCCCGTAAAATGTCTCTGGTATAGAGTTGTTCATTATTATTATTTTCTACCCTGGTCCTTTATGCTCCTGCTATGAGTGAAACCAGCCAGTATTTTTCTTTTTCTTTCTGGCTTATTTCACTAAGCATGATCCCTTCCAGCTCCAAACATGTTGCTGCAAAAGGCATGTGTTTATCTTTTTTGATTACTGAGTAATATTCCATTGTGTATATGTACCAGATCTTTTAATCCAGTCATCTACTTTTGGGCTACGTAACTAATTTTAATGGTATATTTTAAAATGCAGTTTGTCCAAAATATTATCATTTTAACAGGCCATCAATAAGAAAAATTGTGAGTGTGATGCTTTACAGCCTTTGTGTGTGTGTGTGTGTGTGTGTGTGTGTGCAATTTATGCCAACAGTGCTAGTCACATGTCAGGTACTCAAAGGCCCCTGGGGCTTTCAGCTACTATTTTGGATCTCACAGCTCTAGACGTGCTCCAGGGGGTCCCTGGATATCTGCAGCTGCTCTGAACAGCAAGTCACTGCACAATTGTGTTCATGGGACTAGAGCTGGGCATTGAATGCTGTCTGCTCACATACTTCTTGACTTTCAAGCAAGCCTGCTCTCCCTGATTTCTTTAATGGACAGCTGTTTGGTCATATGGTCAACCTTGGCTAGAGTAGAGACTGGCTCTTTTACCCTCTTTAGAAGGAGGTGAGCAAAGCAAAGGGTAGTTGGGGAAGTTTGAGGGCAGCAAAGAGCTGCACTCAGCTCCTTGCAGGTAGCAAATACTCAATGTTTGCTCCCTGGTGATGGTGTCTTATGGGACTATATTTACTGCTCAGCTCATGCATAATAACCTGAGAACCCTACTCAACAGCAGGTTGCAAGTGCTGGTCTATGGTTGTTGGTGTAAGTGACCTATTTGAGCACTAGACTGTAAGCTCCTTGAGAGCAGGGCTGCCTCTTTTTTTCTGTGGCACCTGCAGTAGTGATGGAGCTCAGCTACATTCAACATGCTGTAAATTGCATCCCCATGACTTACTTATTTTATAACTAGAAGTTTGTAATGTTTGACCACCTTACCCATTTCACAGTCCCATCCACCCACTAACCTACACCCTATGTCTGGCAACTACCAATCTGTTTTGTAGATATTCTTGTTTACTAGATTCCGCATATAAGTTATATGTGGAGATAATGTATTTGTCTTTTCTCTGACTTACATCACTTAATGGAGTGCCCTCAAGTTCAATCCTTGTTGTTGCAAATTATTTTATTCTTTTTTATGACTGAATAGTATTCCATTTTGGCACATGTATTATGTATCACTCACATAAATATCACTTCTTCATCTATGCATCCATATCCATGGTTATTTCCATGGCTTGTGTCTTCTCTGTTATAAAGAATGCTGCAAAAGCATTCTTTTGTACCTTTTGAATTAGTATTTTTGTTTTCTATAGAGAAATACCAAGAAGTAGAATTGCAGGATCATATGATAGACCTACTTTTAGTTTTTTGAGGAATTCCCACACTCTTTTCCAGAGTGAGTGCACCAGCTCACATTCCCACCAACTGCTCCCCGCACTCCCTTCTGTCTGCCTCCTTGCCCACTTTGGTCATTACTTATCTTTATGAGGACAGCCATTCTAGTAGGTGTAAGGTGTTATCTGCTTGTGGTTTTGATTTGCATTTATCTGATGATTAGTGATGCTGAACATTTTTTCATGTACCTGTTGACCATTTGTATGCCTTCAAAAAAACTGTCCAGATCCTTGGCTCATTTTTAAATTGGATTGCTTGTTCTTTTTGCTATTGTCTTGTATGCATTCTTTATATAATTTGTATAATAACCTCTTATCTTGTGGTTTGCAAATCTTTTCTCCCAGCCAGTAGTACATTACCTTACACATTCCATAGTGTCCTATCTGGCTAACAAATCATAACTTACTTGAGTATTTTTCATGTCTTAGAGCAATTGCTTCAAGTGTTTCCGTTATAATTAACCCTGTATGGGTAAAGTGTTAATAAATCCTTGTCCTTGTCTGCAAAAGAAATCAACCTTTAGGTAACTTGCTAGCTACTTCCTTTGAGACTCAATATAATGGATGTCCCCAGAGTTACCAGGCAACACTGTTTAATCAAAAATTACTTTGATTGGGAAGCTGTTACTCAAGCAGGCAAACTGTAAAAATACTTGCTGGTAAGTCATCCTTAGTGCTTCCTTGGGCACAGTGACTTTGTAACATTTACTCTTACTTGGAGTTGTACAAGAGATACTCCTGTGGTGCATGAGGTTTTGAAGCCAGGGTTATTCTTGCATCTGTATGATATGGTTTTCATAATTCACCTGCACTTGAATTATAACCTGGAAGGTAGGGAGAAGACAGGGAGGCAAAAAGACCCTCTCTTGGACAGCTGTCTGAACTGCTTAACAGAACACTAGGTGGCCTCCCACTGCAAAGGTGTGACCCATGGTAGCCTTCACAGGCTGAATGTTTAGTGTGTCAAGAAGACCATTGGTGGGTCTGGTACCTTATATTTAGGGTTATTTGCTTAGGAGAGCTTCCCAGAAGTAAATAACCAATTCCAAGGAGGTGGGCATTTTCAAGCTCCTAGAGGCCTACATAAAGTCAAGTTGATTCCCAAAGGGTTTTACCACCTACTCCTGCCAGCTGTGCAGTGAAGCAGGCCTTTTCAGGTACTAACTGCTCTCTCCACCCTCCAGGTCTATGAGGCCCTTCTCCCACAGTATGCCAGGCTGGAACAGAGAATCCTGTCTTAGACCCAAGGGCCTCCAAAGTGGATTCCACAGGCCCAGGCGCCCTGTTGAACTGGGCCACTCAGACTCATCGATCCCACTCAAGAATGTGACCTTGGACAGAGGGAGCCTCTTCCCTGTTTCACCACCTGCCTGTGCTGAATCCTAGGGGTGCTCCAGCCTTGTCTGGGACCACCCTGATATCTGCCTTCACATCATCCTAAACATAGGCAGGCAGCTTGTGCCCACGCCCTCTACCCTGGACAGGAAAGCATCTCTCTTATCCTATCTTTCATCCAGGAGGCAGGGTACCACTGAGTTACAGAATATCCAATGTAAATGTGTTTCCCCTTTCAAATAAAATAGTAAATCTCATCAGCAGAATAGAGAGGCAGAGTCCTCCCTCCCCTGAAAGGGGTATAAAGGTACTAGAGTGGAAAAGTAACTTCCTCATCTTCATGCCTTAAAGTCAATATTATCAAATTATTTATAATTTATTTAGTACATATTATAATAGCTACAAATCATGAAATTTAAAACATTATCAGATTAATTAATGTCAAAGGAAAATCCCAAATAAAATCAGTAACAGATACCAATAGGGTGTGAAGATGTTCTGTTTTCACAAGTGCAGTGTATGACCAAGTGGTTCAAGTATTAGGAAATTAACAAATATAATTCTTCATTTTAATAAATGTAGGAAGACAAGCAATTCAATTACAGCTAATGAAAATCCTTTGACAAAATTCAACACTCATTCTTGATTTCAAAAAATGTTAAAAACCAGCGTTTGCTTAATAAGGAAACACTGGGGCCTTTCCTGAGTAAGTCAGGAAATCCACCCTCTATCCAGCCATTTAATTGTGCATTAACTGAGGCAGCCAGTGCAGTCAGACCAGAGAGAACCAAGGCATAGGAATAGGAAAAGGAGAAAAAATGAAAGGGAGTCAATACTAAACCTAATGCAAATAAGAAAAGTTCGTAAAGTGACTGGAGATAAAGTTTTAATATAGAAAGAGTAGCATCCATACATGCACTCAATAAAAATTACAGGGACTGAAGGACAGGGCTAATTTACAGTCGTAACACAAATCTAAAATACTTGGAAATGGGGCCTGCCTGGTGGCGCAAGGGGTTAAGCTTATCTCAGCACTTACGAAGCTATCTGAAGCCACTGCAGCAGCAGTTGCATCCCTGGCTGGCCAGGGAGCTAACAACATGGTGCAGCAGACCTCTCCTGTCTCCCCTAACCTCTGGCTATATCCCAGCTCATCTATGCATTATTGAATGAATAAGGGCCCTCGTTGGTGGTGCAACGTGTTAGTGGCTGTCGCAGCCACTGCTGCATGAGTTCGATCCCCAGCCAGGGGGTGGCCCACATGGTGTGGCAGGCCTCTCCTGACCTGCCCGCTGCTCCTCTCAGCAGTGTATTTCAGTTGATCTGCCTGTTCTCCATTCTGTCTCTAGTGAATCCTCTCACCATCTGCACCTCTGATCTGTACCCCAGTTCTATATGTATAAATAAATAAATCTTTTAAAATAAATAAATATTTTAAAAAATACTTAGAAATGGAGTTAACATTCGAAAAAAATTAAAAAACATTCCTTAGAGGCTCTCCTTGGTGGCGCAGCGGGGTAAAGCACGGCACTATGAAGCTAAAGCCACTTCTGCATGCGTTTGATCACCACCAGCCCCGGAGGAGATCCACATGGCGCAACAGACCACTCCTGACCTGCCCGCTGCTCCCCTCAGCAGTGTACTTCGTCGATCTGCCTGTTCTGCTCCCCACTCTATCTCTGGTGAAGCCTCTCACCGCTCCTGCACCTCTGGCCTGTAACTCAGTTCTGTATGCACAAATAAATAAATCATAAAAAAAAAATCATTCCTGAGAGGTATAAATAGATTGGAGCAAAGGTTACTCAGAATCATGAAGGATTAATGTGTTCCAAATAAAAATACCACCCTTTTATGGAGGTAGTTTCCTGAAGCTAGACAAGGGGATTCTGATGTGTATTTGGAAAAACATATAATCAAAAGTAGCTAGGAAAACTCAGAAAAAGAAGTTCAATAAGGGCACACTAGCTCTGTTAGATAATGAAACATTATAAAGCCTTCTTTTAGAAAATGTAATTGTTCAAGAATAGATTAATAGGACAAGAATGGTTAAGTTTAAAAAATTACATATTGACATGTACAAGAAAAATGCTTGTTCAAAACAGTAAAAATATAGACTTTTTAATACATAATGTGAAAACTGGATAGCCATATGGGAAAATATAGAATGAGAATAGTGCCTCATATCAATACCAGAATAAATTCCTCTTAAAAGGATCAGAAATCTAAACATAAAAAGTAAAACCATAGAAGTCCCAGAAGAAAACATGAATGAACTCACTTATAATCTTAGTGGGAAAAGTTTCTCATCTCAAAACCCAGAAGCCCAAATAATAAAGATTTATCTATTTGACTACATAAAAATTAATTTTTGCCATAGCAAAAAAAAAAAATAATAATAAAGCAAGAATCAGGAGGGGAGGCCTAAAAAAATCAAAAGTGGGGTCCTCCTTGGTGACACAGCTGGTTAAAGCACAGCACTAAGAAGCTAAAGCCACTTCAGCATGAGTTTGATCCCTTCCCCAAAGGTGCACGGCACTGCAGACCTCTCCTGACTTTCCTGCTGCTCCCCTCAGCAGTGTACTTCATCATTCTGCCTGTTCTGCTCCCCACTCTGTGTCTGGTGAATCCTCTCACTGCCCCTTTACCTCTGACCTGTACCCCAGTTCTGCATGCACAAATAAATAAATCTTTTTTAAAAAATCAAAAGTGGTGGAAAATATCTGCAGTTTACATCAAAGACAAAACTAATTTGTATTTAAAAAAAACTCTTGGGAACTCCTAATTTATTTTAAAAAAAACTCTTAGAAATCTAAATGAAGGTCAGAAGCTCAATTAAAAAAAATCATTAGAAACAAATGAAGAACAAATGATGGACAGTTAGGAAAAAAATGCAATTACTTTTCAAGCAAATTTTTAAATGCTCAACCTCATTCGCAATACCGTTTCCCACCTATCAAAATGACAAACAGCCAGAAATCTGACAAGCTGTCACATCACCTAGACAGTGAATCTGATAGTAGTGCACACTGTCTCTTCTCTGAAGTGGAATTTGGCAACATCAAACTAAAAGTATGACCTAACAATTCCTCTAGGAATCTGCCCAAATAAACAAGTTGTTTATTGTGAAATTAGTAATAACAAAATACATGGAAGAAAATCAATTAGCATAGGACCATGTGACTAACAATGAAAAGAAAGAGGAGTCTCTCTATATACTTAAGTGAAGTGAATCTACTTACATGGAACAGTTCTATTTAGCTTCCCTTAACAAAGTGTTACCATTTTAGTGTGCATGACTTACACATATTTTGTTAAATTCATCCCTAGTTATTTGAATCTTTTTTTTTTTTTTTTTTTTGCTGTGGCAAAGTTTATCTGTAGTGGAATTTACCATGTAAGCCATTTTAAAATATACAATTAAGTGTGGCATTAAATATAGTCACAGTGCTGTACCATAGCATATGCAGAAGTTTCTTAACATCCTAAGCCAAAATTAAACCATTAAACCAAGGTTCCATCCCCCTCACCACCAGTCCCTGATAACCTTCTGTTTTAGTGAATTTACTTTTTCTACATGCCTCATGTAAGGGGAATTTGACATGTGTCCTGTGCCTGTTTTATTACACTTAGCATAATATAGTGATGATTCATCCAGGTTGGAGAAAAGCTTCATAATGTTCCACTGTCTGAGCATACCACACTTTATCCACCTGTCCTGTCCTGGTCATTTGAGCTGTTCTCACCTGATGAGTACTGAATGCTGCTGCTATGTATATTAATGTTCAAGCATCTATTTGAATTCTTGCTTTCAGTTCTTTTAGGGGTATACCAGAAGTGGAATTGTTGGATCACATGGTAATTTTATGTTTAATTTCTTGAGAAATCAAAAATAATTTTCCACAGCAAATGCTCTATTTTACATTCCCACCAATAACACATAAAATCCAATTATATCTTTGTCACTCTTGTTATTTCCTACTTTGGTTTTATATTTTTGATAATAGCCATACTAAGTGGCATCTCATTGTTTTGATTTGTTATTTTCCTAATGATTGATGATGTTGAGCATGTTTTCATCTGTTTATTGACCATTTGAATATACTAAATGTTTTCTATTGTTAATGTAAAGGTAGTTGATTATTGTTCACTTTCCAATTGCTTATTGCTAGCTTGTAGAAATGCTTTGTGGTACCATTGCTAGCATGGAGGATTTTTTTTGTATGATCTGGTATCTTGTAACCTTAGGATGTTATACTTTTGTCATGTCATTTGTAAAAAACAAATTGTTTTACTTCTTTATTTCCAATTGTTATTTCTTTCTCTTGTCTCAATGGCTAGAATGTCCAGTACAATGTTGAAAAGAAGTGGGAAGAGCAAACATCCTCTCCTGCCCCTAACCTTAAAAGACAGTGTTATTAAAAAAACAAACAAACACCTCTATAAGCTGCATGTTAGCCATAGTGTGTGTGTGTGTGTGTGTGTGTGTGTGTGTTTATCCTTTCTGGGATTATTTGAACTTTTTGGATCTGTGGATTATAGTTTTCATCAAATTTGCAAACTTTCTTTTTCGTTCAAATATTTTCTTCTGTATTCCAGGATTTCAGCTAGACATGTTAGACAGTTTGAAATTGTTTCACAGCCTCTGTTCAATGTTTCCACCTTTTCTCCTTCTACCTATACTTAACTTTGTCTAGTTTATATGACTGTGCCTTTCATCTGTGGACCCTATTTTCCAAGTCTCTCAACTGCTACCCATTCTATTCAGTAATTATCTTAAAAATAGGTATGTTGACCTCAACTAAATAGTTATTTTACCTGCAGAATGAGTTTATTCAGAAACAACAATTTGGAACAGGCAGTCTCACGGGCATGTTTCTCAGGAATAGAATAATAAATATTCTTTTTTTAAAAAAAATATTTATTTATGCATGCAGAACTGGGGTACAGGCCAGAGGTGCAGGGGTGGTGAGAGGATTCACCAGAGACAGAGTGGGGAGCAGAACAGGCAGACTGACAAAGCACACTACTGAGGGGAGCAGCAGGTGGGTCAGGAGAGGTCTGCCGCACCCTGTAGGTCACTTCCCTGGCTGGGGATGGAACTTGCACTGAAGCGGAAGTGGCCAGCTTGCGGTGCTGCATCCTAACCTGCTGAGCTTCCTGAGGGGGCCAGAATAAATATTCTTTTATAGTTTTAAAGGGACTCTCATGAAAGCGCATTGCCTTGAAAACAACTGGGAGTTCAAGATATGGTGGCTTTTCATTTGTTGGGTTACTGACTGAGCCACTGCAGAGCAGAGAGCAGTCCCTCCTTCCTCTGGCTGGGGGGCATCAATCCTGGCAGCAGTGCTGTGTCATTTGGTTGGAGTCTGTCATGTGCTGAGTGCTCATGAGTGAGAACGCTCTTCTAGCCTCCTTACCTCATTTCAATGCAGCTTCTGTATATTTGTTTTCACAGGTATTACATTTTATTCCTAGAAAGTTTTAAACAAATTTCCATTCTTTCTTCATTAGGCTCACTTAAAGCATATGCTTATATCTTTGAGCATAATTATGATAGCTCTCAAAAAAAATCCTTCACTGCACCTTGAGATGCTACCATCCCCAGACTCCCAGGGAGGGCAGCCGTGGCGAACCCCACCCCTTGGCCATGGAGGGAAGCTCTTGGGCTGTGTCTCCTTCAAGCTGCTTGCAGACAAAGGTCCAAAGACAGCTGAAAATGTGCTCTGAGCACGGGAGAGAAGGGATTTGGTTATCAAGGTTCCTGCTTTCAGAGAACTATCCCAGGATTTATGTCCAGTGTGGTGACTTTATATGCCATTTTGGCACTCACAGCATATCCATGTGTGTGGGGGAAATGCGAATACAGAATCTCCTCCTGAAGCAAACAGGTCCCAGAATCTTGTCAAGAGCAAGTGCTGGACCCAGCACAAATGGTTCTCAGGTTTGCATCTGCACAGCCAAGACTGAGTGGTTGCATGGAAAACAGGTGGTCTTGGGAGGATGGCATGGATTTGGGGAGACCAAGAAGATTTTGGGTCCAGGAAGGGCCAGACCAGCAAGAAG